TGTTCAAGTTGATAGGAGGACAGACTGCGGGGAGAAGCCGAATAGTTGGTGGTTGTCAAAGTTGAGGGCATCCAGTTGAACCACGGATAGACAGCCGAAATGTGTACCTAGGTGCCGAGGTCTGTGATTTGCTGCTCAAGGGAACGTGGAGGATTTAAGTACTGGGCGATCGAACATGTTATTAGATTAACCCAAGACAAATAAGAGATCGATACCATATGACAAGGAGACAAGCGGGAAGGAACAAGCGAAGAAGAATTGGAGAAGTAATTAGCAGACTACTAACCAAGTAGTAGAACAAGGATCCTTGGATAATGGAAACATTAATGATGATGCTAATTACGGAGTATAGGGTCGTTTCCTGGTCAGGAAAAGACTGGATTACGTTGAAACTGATTTCTTTCTATCCATACCTAGAATGCTTGATCTTCGGTGACATATGAAATACAGGAGTAATGACTGTGCGCTTCAATAATCAGGGTAGTATTCTACAGAGTAAATGTCTTTATGTCTTTAAATGACAAGATCGATCTAACGAAGAGGGGGAAAAAATATAATAATGATATTAATGAGAATCATATTACTATAAAATTTTGGAAAGAAAAATATCAGTGCGCAGGGTCTTTTGAAAAAAAGAAACTTCCAGGAAGCAACTCCGAAAACTCTCTCGGCAGACCCCTGTCGAGAGAGCAGAGCCAGAAGCATGGCTGAAACAACGCCAGTTCCCACCAAAATAGCACAGAGTAGGTTGAGATCTCAGCAGGTGGAGATAGGACCGGTTAGGCGAGGAATGTTTCATGAATGGGCTCACGATGGCTTCTTGACTATTACTAATTGCTGCAGGCTCATACAGGTCTATGTCTAGTTGTTCTGCAAAAGGTTCCGGATAACCTACGGTCAGTCCTGAGACTTCGGCATCTTTTGTCGGCTTAGCCCATGCTATGATACTATTAGACAGGACGATCGTACGGATTGATATCGGTTCCACGTTTCAAAGTGTGTTCCTTACTCCTTAGTAGATGTTGGCAAGTTACTAACTGTTAACTAGCATGATGAAATCCCGGAATTTAGTGGATCATGAGTGGAGGCAAATAAACGAGATTAGGCCTCTATTTTGATTATTGACTACTGAGTACAGAGTAGGCTAGCAAATAGACTATTTTCGAAAGTGGTATCCCGAGATCGGCAGTGGCAGTGTTGACCATAGTTCTTTTGCCCTGTTATTCACTCTAAATCCAATGTCTATCGCAGTATAAGGCACCTACTCCTTTCGGAAAAGATCTCTGACTTCAATAATCCAAGGTATTTCGTATCCAAGTTGACAAGGCAAGCGGGCCTGTTAGGTATCTCACGTCCGTGGCAATCATCTCCTAGGGCAATGGTTCCCTAAATGATCATCACCAAGCCTGGAGTATGGTAATTGGATGAGCAGTTGTACAAGGCAAGGTACCTCAGCCAAAGTATGGTTCTGCCCAAGGCTCAACCGTTCAAACTTCAACATAATAATGTTTAAAAGGATCCGAGTGGTCCGTCAAATTAGAGATGGCTGGACGGAATGTCATCCAGAACATTTGATTCGTCCGCTTGGTTTCTTTTCTTTTTCGTTACCGGCGAGTCTGCAGTCCGTGCTGCGCTTATTCTCCGGGCACTGACAGAGGGTGCTCTCCTGCTTCAGATACCAATACGAATATGTATTTCCGAGTCGATGGTCATGAGCACAGCAAATCTGACAAAATAGACAAATCTGTCAAAATAGAAGGCTGAAGGCTTTTTCCCCCTTGCGTTGTTACAGATGGGTAAGCTTTGGCAATCTAATCAACGGCCGCCTCGGACTACCCCCATTGCTGAGCTTCATGGAAACTTAAAAGGCTGAAAGGCCTAGCCCGGATGCTGAGCCGGGACGGTTCTGTTTGGATACGGACTAGGCCTAAGGATTTCATGGAAAGGGCTTTGGAGGGCGTGGCGGCAGTAAACCGAAAGGATCTAACTAGTACTAGATAGTAAGGTCGATACGTGGCTCATTGTCTACAAATTTCGTGACTGTGACTTCAGAGGTCAGAGTCTACCGATACCTATCTAATTCTTATCCAATAATCCGACCGTTTCTCGAGAGGGGTTCCATTATTGTCAAACCTGTGTTATGAGTGGTCAAGTCCGTGTTTCGACCGAGTTACCCCCAGACAGTACTCCGTAGTACTGAGTCCTATTTCGTAGCTTTCTGGCTTTCCGTGGCCTCTGCCACAGTGCCTCGTGTTGGTGGCTTCGCCGATCAATGACAATAGCAGTAAGCTATGCGTTGCGTACTAAGGTTCTTCCCTCGTTGCATTCGCTCCTGCGCCGATCCAGCCGCTTAGCCAGCAATGCTAAGCGGAGTCATATTATTATTGAGCCCTTCGTGTCGTTCAACCATCGCCAGACTTCTTCATCGGAAAGTGGTTGGCTGAATGACCAAGACAATAAAGGCTAATTCCTCAGTACTTTTAATGAATATTACCAATATTCTATGCAACCTGTAGGCGCATGGAAGGTACAGCTAGGCGGCTTGTGCATTGCTTCCCAGATTGCCTCCTGCAGCTGCCTTGATGCCCGTTCCGGTTCGTCCTCGTGTGGCACTTACCATCTGAAACTGTCACATACCCTCGGTCCCTCACTCACACGCCATATTTGCTTTGCAGGGCGCCTTTTCTCCTGCGTTGGACTGCACTAGCTGCAGAGATTGTCATCATTATTAATAGAATGCAGGTTCTTTGGGGGCCAGCAGACCTCTTCTTTCCCTGTCGATGGAGTGGTTATGACTATGGAACTGAAGCAGCCCAATTCACAATAGAAGATAGGGAACAGCCAATCTTGACAGCTCGGCAAAAGACGCAATCTTTGTTGCATCATCTTTACGGCACTAAGAAGCAGAGAGGTCATTTTCAAGTTTCAACTCAACACATCGAGTATTCTTTACGATGAATGTCAGCGCCATGGGCAAGTTGTGACTCCAGTGGCGCCGTTCAATGGCCAAATAATACCGGGACATCGAGAGCGAGGAATATATCGATTGTCAACTTGCCATGGGGAGGCACTGAACGCTCCGTGGGAAATTGTGCACCCTTACACATTGGCTGATAGGCTGCACACCCTCATCTCATCACCACCTTCAGCTTCCGGGTTGCTTAATGTAGCTTATTACTGGACACCGGATCGCTTTCCAGGGTGGAGTTAGCCTAAACTTAGCAGCCATTTACCTCGTGTGCCCGTCACAGCATTTAAGAAGCCGAGCCAATCAGAGAGCATAGAAAGACCTACGGAACTGTTGCCGCATGGGAGACAGAAAATCAGACTCTGGCGTGTTGCAGCATGATTGATTGGATAAAACAGGCTTTCGGGATCCACTCACATGTGGTGTCTCCCACGTAAGACATGAGGATTTTGGACACCGCTGCGCACCGATTCGCAGGTTCTACGAATCCACTTTAATGACGGCTTGTTGGAGAAGAAAGGGTGAGTAGTTTTCGTCATAATCATAATGATAATAATAATAATAATAATGGTTTATTTCTTAAAATCTCGGATATGAGTTACTGGAGATCTAACAGTAATTCCGACAGATAGAACAAGTAGACGGTAGAGCCAAGTGCAGCACTCGGGGATTTCCGAGTGGTCAAGAAAGGGGCGCACATCTTATCCCTGGCTCTGTGAATTCAACAGATTCAACTTCCCTTGTTTGCGCTTTTTCATCCTTGCGGTAAACCTCGGGTCTTATGATCCTTTGTCCGCAGATGCGGCCAGCGCCTGGAATCCCCTGAACACAACGGTCCACGTGGTTATGCATTGGCCTTTCGAGCTGTGGCTTTTGGGCTTTGGCCCTCGAGGAGTTGAGGTCCGAGATTCATAGATTGTGGTGCCTATTATTTCCTCCTAAAGGATACATTTTCAGGACATAGCTCTGTTTACTCTATCTATCGACTGATAGCGAAATTACATTGACTGTTGTCAGTTACTTGACGTCCATTTGGTCACGCGACGGTTGGTATCTCAATATCTTTGGCGCCTTCTCCATCTCTCATTTTAGCTTGACATTTGACCAAGGGACACTACGCTACGCACCTCGCTTAGACAACAAAAAGTGCAGCATACTCGGGTCTCAGAGATGATACTAGCCGACCTCGTGCTAATTGTTTGCCAGTCGTCGAGTTGATGATTACTTAATTCCCTGGCATATGAGACAGATCCACTACCTGATCCCTGATGGCTTGGCTCTTCGGAATCGTTGCCGAATCGGTTTCTTGTGTTCCATCAGTCCGCGTCCAATTCACTTCTTTTGGACATATGCACCGTACAGGGTGACAATGTTACCGACCAGAAAATCCTTCGATTTCCTCCTTGGTTGCTTGATGGCGTGCCATTCCATGGCCCATCAAAGTCATGCCGTCTCAACATCATACAACCATCCCGTACATCAGACCAACGTCAGCACTAGTCTGATTTGTCTTTCGCTGCGAATCGCAAAACAACTTGACAGCTAGGCCGAATCCCAGCAGATGCATCTCATGCTACGGAGCTGAGAGTGCAAAGCCCTATCGGAAATCGGAAAGCAGGCAGCAGTAGCTCCCGAGCGGGCCATCTCATCCAAAGGATGCCTATTCGAGACACTGATACCGAATCTACTCACTACTAAACCAGATTTAGATAGGCAGATCATAACCGATGCCCGCTAACCTTGATTACCAGCATCTGGAGGAAGTGGACTCCGAGACAAATTAATCCTTGAATATATTATGATTCAGCCTGACGGAGATCATGTTTCACCTGCGGATTGCCGATACGGCGATACGGAGATTAGACCATTGCTCGGTTTCGAGTGACCACCCACAGTCACCACTCACCACGCACCCTCGGTTAGAACCGTGAGACGAGCCCCATATGCATGCCACATAAGGCAGCATTAGCAGCATGCAATCTTATCAGGGCAATCCAAAAATGTGGATTGCAGACGACAGCGACCGGAGATATCATCCAGCTATTTTGGGTTGATTCTTCCTCTTCTCCCACCTATCCATAATCACCTCCACCAACTTACTCAATCCCTCCATCTCCTCATCAACAGCCAACTCGAGGGCCCGAGGATCGATGCTACAGCCCACGTAGACAGGGACGTTCATCCGTCGGGCCAGGATCTTGGCGACTCGGGACGTATATTCCTCCGTCGAGGGGGAGGAGTATAACACAGTTGATATGACCGAACGGGGGGAATAGCGCTGTCATACGTCATCGACTTATTCGAACATGATAAGATACATATCGTCGCTGGAAACAATGCCGACAAAATATGGATTATTATCTAAAGCGGGGGAAACTTACATCAGGCATGGCGTAGATGAAACTCCCCATCGGCTTCAGCGAGCCTCCGGGCTCTCCTGGTGTCGCTGTAGCCAGGAATACAGTGACGCATGTCTCTAGGATCGTCAAATGGACATGTGCGGTTGTATGGAGCGCTTTTGGTAGCGGAAAGGAGATCTCTTGTGGTTTGTAGGCAGGCGAGACAAGTTCAGTCTGTGGTGCGACCGGTTGAGTTGTTGCCATGTTGGGGGCTCGCGGTGTATTCTTGCGACTTAATATATCGGGAAAAAAGATATCTCCTGCGATTTGGATGAGTATGGTGTGTGTCTGGCTATTTTATAGGAATAGGTATAAGAAGGGTGATGTTTGTGGTGACAAATGACATGTCGCCTCAATGAAGCACCGCTTTCTGGATGTTTCCCCGCCAAACAGAGCGGGTCCACGTATTTCACCACTGCAGACTGCAGCGCGAAGAGGGTTCTTCCAACCTCTGAAGGTACCAACAGCGCAGGTCAGTTGTATGTATTACTAGAGCTAGAAAATGCATTGAAGCCGCTTTGAAATAATTATTGTGATTCCGCAGTTTTGCGCAATCGGGATCCAGTCCAGAGACGAGCCTCTCCATACCATTCCGGCCACAATGGCAACTGAACTGCAGCAATACGATCACGTTGATGACTCGGAAGACGTTCGAAGCTGGGCGGGGGATTTTGATCCCCTGGCAGACCCCGAAGAACGGCGGGTTCTCTTTGCTACATTGGATTCTTTCAGGTGTGTGAGGCTATACGGAGGCCGCCAGAATCTGTGATCATTTCAACTCGAGATGCTATGGATTTGATTTTGCATAAAGATACCTTACTGTTAATTCTACAGCCATGATTGCTGACATGGACCAGACAATATCGGAGAACGGCACATATGAACACTACACATCGCCGCCGGCAAGCGTTCTATGCGCTCCCATCGTCGCACTGGCAGTTGCTGGCGGAACCCCCGTTCTCCCTCTTAGACATCTTCAATCGCGTCGATGACGCTATCGATGTCAACGCCGACATCGCGGACTCGATTCTCGCCACAGGCCTTGCATCGTTCGGCCTACCAGCCGATCCAGATCCCAATGATCCAGGGCAGAACTGGCACGGCACGGCCACATCTTCAGATGTCAACAAGGCGCACTCAACCATCCGTCAATTCTACCGCGACTGGAGCGCTGAGGGGATAGCGGAGAGAGAGGTATGCTACGAGCCTGTTCTCCGTGATCTGCGCGACGAGTTCAAAGCCCGGCACTCTGCCGGGGACGAGATCCGAGTGCTCGTCCCGGGCGCCGGTCTGGGAAGACTGGTCTTCGAGATCTGTCAAGCAGGCTTCGCCGCAGAAGGCAATGAGATCTCCTATCACCAGCTGCTGGCCAGCAGCTGGGTTCTCAACCACACCCGCGGTCCTCAGCAACACGCCTTGTACCCGTTCGCGCTGCACTTCTCCAACCTCCTGTCGCGCGAACAGCAGCTACAGAAAGTTATGATCCCGGACAAGCACCCTGCGACAGCGATGATGGAGGCTCAAGCCGGGGACGCGTTGCCATTTGGAACGATGAGCATGTCCGCGGCGGATTTCGTCGTGCTCTACAACAATCCCTCAAACAAAGAGGCGTTCGATGCCGTGGCTACCGTTTTCTTCATTGACACGGCCCCGAATCTCATTCGCTACATCGAAACCATCCAACATTGCCTCAGGCCCAACGGTCTTTGGATCAATCTTGGACCCTTACTGTGGCACTTTGAGGATGGCAGTAACAAGGGCCAGGGCAGTGGAGGTGATCACTCTCAGGGCATTGGAGAGCCTGGCAATGTGGAATTGACAGAAGAAGAGGTGTTTTGCCTTGTCGAGAGAATGGGCTTCAGCATCGAGAAACGGCAGTCGGTGGAAGACCGGCCCATGTGTGGTTATATTCAGGATCCGGGGAGTATGCTGCAGAACCTTTATCGGCCGTCACATTGGGTAGCGCGCAAGAAGACAGAGATCAAAAATTAATGTAATGAACGAGGAATTCTTCAACACACTTGAATGGATTATGGAAATCCGCCTTGCGATCTAACACGAGGTCAAGGATATATCCGGTCTCTTGCTGCTCGCCACTCGTTATTTCTACTAGCACGTAAGTTTACTGACTCGCCTAAACAAAATGTATGTAAACATCGATAATACATCTTAGTGTACACAGCAGGAAATGGAGATGCCTGATGAGTGCTTGAGCCCTTGTCGGGAATCTGGTAATCTGGACACGGTATCACACCATACGAAACATAACGTGCGTACAGATACACGATTCAGCCGCAGACAAACCAGACAAACAAAGAAAAGGAACATGGCTTAGCAACTCTAGCGCAGTGGCTGGGTCGTGGCTGTTCTTGATTTCCCACGAATCTACAGAGAGACATTTGGACGGATGACCCGCATTGACAGTGCAGTGGCATTGACAATAAGAAACATTATTTCTTTATACACTTTCTATGAGTGAGAAGTGAGGCCCAAGTTGCAAAGGAAGTGGATGATTGATGAACCTGGTTGGGGAGATGGTGGTTTGATGGACGTGCTCCACTTTACCAAGGCAGATCGCTCGTATCCTGATTCTCGATCCTCGGATTCAGGACCGAGAGTCTCTCCACTCTCGGTTTCAGGAACGAGAGAGCGTTGGATATCTGTGGAGTATTAGGACTCTCACGCTGGATCATGGTGACAATGCACTGAAAGTGTACTGATCGCATTTTCTCCATATTGGTAAGGCTTCTATCAAGGTGCCTTCTATTCATACCTATGGTAAGTTATCAAGGCAGGTTCCTGGCTGGTGGTGGAGATGTATGGTAATGTACAATACATGACAATACTTGCTACCAAGGGACTTTTGAAGTTGGACCCGGATTCCCCATATCCATGGCCAGGAGAGCTGTCAATCGCCCTCGATTGCAGAAGAGATACTAAAGATAGAAAATATTAATTATCAAACAAAACGACTCGATATCTTCAAACTTCGGACCAATGCGGAAGTTAGAAAACAGTGGCATTGCAAAGGACATATAGGTAACTGCTGTGTTGCTGACCAGGCGCCGTAGCCATAAGGCCAAGTCAGTAATAATAAGCATCATCCATTTGCATCTTCTCTCATCGATTCATAATTATCACTTTCAATTTACGGCTTGATCATTATTGATTGAGGCCTATCGACTCGGTTAGTCTTGATGATCCAACACGTCAGGTCTTCTGTGACGCCTCCAAAGTGTCAGCCTTGCCCCATGCAAACTAAATCACGACAGTTGATCCCTTGATTCCATTCATCCAGCCTTGCTCGTGTTCCTCCATCATTATCATTCTTCCTCTTCCTCCACCCAAATTCTGCCTAACCGATCCAGATTAGAAAGCTTAAAAAAATTCTTCAAACAAAGGAGTTGTTTGTTCCATCCGCCCTTTGCAAGCACTGGCTTTCCTCTTTCTCCATCATCGGCTGACTTGGTCTCTTTCATTGTTTTCCTCTTCCCCCCTCTCCCCGCCCCTTCTCCCTCTCCCTCGTCCTTCTCCTGAACTTCCTCCTGTCTCTTCTTTTCGGGTTGCCTCCGTCACAGGTCATTTCACATGGACCTGATGAGCTCACGATTCAAATCCTTCGGCTTCAAACGCAATAAGAACAATAGTAACGTCTCCGTCTCCGCTACCCAAGTCGCCAGTCCCAGCCCGTCCACCCACACTCTCGTCGCCCCGCCCTCAACCGCCACTTCCCCCAGCTCTCCGCCTTCTGGCCATAGTTCCTCATCGACCAGTCTCCCCATGAACAATCAGAATACATTGGGTCGCCCTCCGAGTTATACTTACAACACCGCGGGGCGGCCAACCAGCCCCATGCCGCCCGGTCAACAGTTGGCTCATCACCCGCCCCCGCTGAACACCAACGTGCAGTACGGCCACCAGCCTGTTCAGCCCATGGGCGCTCCGCCTGGATATCCGTTGCAGCAACCCGTTCCGCACGGAATCCCTCCTTCGTTGCCGCAGCCCCAGTATAACGTACGGAACCCCGCGGTCGAGGTCGAGGGTGCTGGTCGGAGCAAGGCACAGCTGATTGTTGGTATTGACTTTGGTACAACATTCTCGGGTGTCGCCTTCGCATTTGCGACCAACAATGAGGCTCGGGAGGACATCATTACAGAATGGCCCGGAGCAGGAACGCATACCAAGCAAAAGGTGGGCGCTTAGAAACCTGCGAAGACTTCGCGTGGCGCTTATTGTTTCTGACTGTTTGAATTAATCTAGATTCCTACCGTCTTGTACTACGATCAATACCAGAAGGTGGTAGGCTGGGGCCCGGATATTGCGGAGGCTCTGGCACCCACCGGATACCCGAAGACCGGTGTGCAAAAGGTTGAATGGTTCAAATTACAGCTCATGCTCTCCGGCAATACTTATATCGATCCCATCAACCTTCCGCCTCTTCCTCCCGGCAAATCAGAAATCGATGTTGCTGCCGATTACCTCTTTAAATTGCGACAAGCGATGCGGGCGCAATTACAGAAGACACTTGGTGAGGTGTTTACTCGAGAAGAGCGCAATATCCGATATTATCTCACCGTGCCTGCAATTTGGAACGATGCGGGAAAAGCAGCAACCAGGGCAGCGGCGCTGCAGGCTGGATTTCTGCGAGACGAGAACGATAACCGCTTGACATTGATCTCGGAGCCCGAGGCTGCTGCACTGTTCTGCGCGAAGACCGGCCTGCTTCAGCTCAAAGTCGGGGATGCGATTCTGATTGTAGACTGCGGTGGAGGAACAGTGGATCTGATCGCGTACGAGGTCGAAGAGGAGCAGCCCTTCAGCGTGGCTGAGTGTACGGCGGGATCGGGAGATTCGTGCGGTTCAACGGCTTTGAACCGGAATTTTAGCAACATCCTGCGGGCCAAGATTCGCAAGATGAAGTTGCCCGACGGTTCGAGAACAGCGGGAAAGGTGTATGCGAAGTGCATTATGGACTTTGAGAACCGGATCAAGGCCGATTTCCGCAACAATGGCCAGAAGTGGGCCGTGGATGTTGGTATCGAAGCAGACTTTCCCGAAGCTGCCATCGAAGAGGGGTACATGACATTTACCAATGAGGAAATCCTTCAATGTTTCGAGCCTGTCGTCAACCGCATTCTCGAATTGGTTCGGAACCAGATCATCGCGATTCAAGCGCAGAATCGATCGCTCCAGGTAGGTTTGTC